CCCCCCCCCCCTTTTTATTTCAAAATTGAAGTTATCATATGATAAATATTCAGTGGACAAAGTTTGAACAAGAATCTATTGTCATTTTTATTTCAGAGGAATTACCTTAAATGGGAAACGCAGAGAGGTCTGTATCTCCAGCCTCGCTTGCATTCATAGGTCAGGTAATTACGCACACAACTATATGGTCTATCCAATTGCAAATAAACGATGTTTTTTTTTTTCTTTTTCTTTATGTTTGTTCGTTTGCTTGTTTCTCATCAAACTAGCAGCAAAATCTTATTTTGGTTTTTTGACTAAGGTAACGTATGACTTTGAACGATTGTGTTGAGCTAAATTCAAATATTAAACAATAATTGAAAAGGCTCGATTTGTTCAAAATATATGAATATTTGAATTTCGAACTAACCCCCCTCTTTCCTTTTTTTTTTCGAAATTTAACAAATTTCGATATGCAATATCTTTTTAGTTAAGAATCCTTTTAAAATATTCGTTTCACATTTGAATTCCTCTCAACATATCCATTCAAGGCGGGGGTGTGACTGGGGGAAGGCGAGCCAATTTTTCACCATTTTTATTAGTGCCATGCGAATAAACTTCATTTACCTCTCAGGGGCATAATCAGGGGAATTTGAAAACAAACGCAGCAAATTTTTTCCGTCCACACTACGCACGAAGGAATTTAAAAACGCAAAAATCACCAATTAATTTTAATTTGTGTTTGAGCAAAAAAACTCCGTCAGGAAAACCGCTTGATTATCGTGACGCCATCGTTTTCGTAAAGCTTCGTTTTCAAAATTTATTCCGTCCAAAAGAAAAAGAAAGCCAGCGTTAGGACTCGAAGAGCGTTTTCGGAAAGCTCCTTTTTCGTGACTGTCTAGTGTGGACGATAGGCGTAACCATAGAAATAAACCTGGGTTTTCAAATTTCTCCGGCTTAGCGTGGATGGGGCCTAAGATCAACATTATTTGCAGAAAAAGCCACCTTTACAATATTTCTTATGTGCACAATTACGCATTAATTCTCTTCCAGGAAGGTTATCTGGTAAAAATTACTAAGATTCTAGTTGAAGAGGTAAAGTTACCAAATTTGGGTATCCGCGTTGCCTTAAAAACAGAATTGTCATTGCCAAAGGCGCATCAAGACATCAACAGAATCATCAAAAGTAGACTTACCAGGCTTGACCATCCTGATCATCTCTTCGATAGCCTCGGGTCGCGCATGCGCTGTGCCAAGTGTGCCAGTGCTGATCATCGCATGATATTCTCCTGTTTCTATTTCGGGAATCCGCTGTTCAGTGAGTGAGGCGCAGATGAACTTCTTGTAAATATTCTTCTTTTTTGCTTCGTTCAACATTTCTTGTGAAATATCAAGGGCATCAATATTCGTGTAGCCAAGTTTGAAGAGTTCCACACCAGCAAGTCCTGTTCCGGCACCTGCATCAATAATTTTGATCCGACTTTGTGTTTTGTCCGGGAAAACCTGTTTGATAGCGGCATCTAGACATTCGGCCAGCGGTTTGCGAAAAATGATCTGGGCTTCTTGCAGGACATCCTAAAAACAAAAACAAACAAAACATAACCTATGTAAATCGTGGAATCTTTGTTTGCATTATTTCCGTTCATCAAAATATCAGCTCGAAAAATAAATTATTGAAACCAAGAACAATCCTCGGCTGCTTCATAACTTTTAACTTCCTTCTCAGGTTTAATAAAACAACAAATACGTTTTCTTAGAGGGGGAGATATGTATTTTGCGCACCTCAGAGACTTACTTTCGCAATATACCGAAAGCATTTTAAATGCAGTAGGTAATAAATTAATGGGGTAACATTTAGAGTGGGTCAAGTCTGCATACAGGCTAAGTGGCCCATCAGGCCAGAGCCTTTCCTGGTTTCTGTAGCATGAAGCATCTAGAAATATTTCTACTCCCCCCTCCCCCCCTTTCTGGATGGGATGCCAGTCCATCGCAGGATTACCTCCAACATTAAGTTCGCTGATCTGTTCCACACCTGGGTGAAAGGAGGCACTGTGAAAGTAAAGTGTCTCGCGTAAGAACACAACACAATGTCTCCGGCCAAGGCTTGAACCCGGACCACTTGATCCGGAGTCGAGCGCACTATAACCATGAGGCCACCGCGGCTCCCCAGTATCTTGTAAAATTTAAAATAAAGAAATACGAAATGAAAAGACAAGAAAGATTCCAACTGTCTCCAATTCAACATTGAACTAAAAAATTGTAATCCACGTGTATCCCTCTAATTCGTACTTCTTGTGCACATTCTAATTTGCTCTGTAGAAACTTCTCATTAAATGAGGTGGCACTCATTTGGAACTGAATACAATATAGAAATTAAGAAAGCTAACTTTCGACAATCAGCTTGTAAGACACATCTCCTTTCATAATGACAATGATTTGAGCCCTCCAGAGTAATTAGGTGGCAATTCGTCTAGACTAAGTATGCGATCTTTCAAATAATGTTACAATGTAGTAAGAAAACGACCGTTTTTTTACGTTACGACAGCCTGAGCGCCGGGAAATAAGAGTCAAGCGAAACTTTGTCAGATAATTCGTGGGATTTAATTTTTCTCTAACGGTCTCGGGATCAAGCAAGCGTGAGTAGAGTACCTTATCATAGGTAGTCGCCCAGTTTTTATAAAGATCCTTTATCTCCTCTTCTGTGGTGTCTTTCGTCAGTCGGCTTAATTTCTTAATACGGTATTTGTCATAAGGAGCGTCCCAAGATGCCATCGCTGACTGATCGCTAATTCTGATATGAGAAAATAATTAAATATTCAGTAGAATGTAATTTATATTGGGAGACTAGCTGAATCAGCGTTTCTTTCGCCTTCCTTTCAGTACCTCATACAAGTGCTCTCACTACATGTAGTTAAACTCATCTTAGCTCAGCTTTTCGACATAACTAATTAGCCATGTTCTAAACGAGCAAGTAACTGGGGACGAATGTTTAAAACCTAGTTATTTGAAAAAACTTAGCCAGGTACCTAAGAGAGCATCTAAAAGTGAGTAAAGTTACCAAATACCAGTGTTTTGATTCGCAAAGATCTAATACGCTTTTGAAAAGCTGTGATTGAAGAGAGCTTTGTATGGTTTGGAGGGATTTTAAAACTTCGTACTCAGTCCCTTGCTTGTTTAGAACATGGCTAACCAAGACTGACATTTTTACTTGTCCGGGGCTTACCATGCCTTCAGCCTAGTTGCGATAACATCAAGGTTCATTAAGCCGAAAGTTAAACCTTGGAAGTCTTCAGGATATGGGCTAGCCTGGTGATTTGCAAACTCAAAATGGTACGTGCTGTTACTTAGACAAGAGCGTTCATTTAGGAATGACAATTGGGTCGTTCTCTGTTATGAAATCTTCAAGTGCTGTAGAAAGTGGAAATTAATAAAGTTTCCGGGAGAAAGCATTCTCCGGGGAGCACACTCGGCGGAACGAAGTGACAGCCCGGAAATAAAATAACTCCGAGACAGCCTTAAATGGCTTTTTTTCTTTTTTTTTTTTTAAATAGGTTAACACTACTTTTCCCCTCTCTTCGCTCCCACCTCCCAACTCTCCTTCGCAAAGCGCCCTCCTGCCCCCTCCTGATGATTATTGCACAGTCCCTAACATGAAATATTTAAAAAACATACGTAGATTGGGCCGTCAAACCCTAATCGTAGTCAGTGTGACATTCACTTAGGAGCCAGGAGAAGGGCCTGGAAAAGAGGTTGTGTGACACTAGAATGTCTTCTGGAAAATGCTATTTGCATTCTATTCGACTCGAAAGACTGAGCTTAAATAACAATGAATACGGGATAATTTTTCCCTGGAAACAGCTGTTAGCATGGAATTGTCGTGTAACAATCGAACAAGAATCGAATAACAAACCCACGACCGCTCCGCTTACCGAAACACAAAACGCGAATAGTGAATATTTTAAATCAATCTTGAAACTGAATCGAATATAAATTATGATGTTCTACGTTTTCCTGAGCTTCAATTTCGCCTCTTCAGAAGCAGAAAGAATAAAGTGAAACTCTGAGACCATGGTAGGCAGATTGTTCGGAATAAACGAAACGTTTTAGATCGTTCACTTACGACTGTAGTTTCGCTCAGAATAAACGTGCATAATAACATGCACTACAACCAACCAATATTGTTACGTTAAGTTTTGGAAACTCAAACCCTTAAGTGCTCGAATGTATCCAAACAAAATAACCTTCCTAACGAAAAGTGTTTAAACAGCACGGCAATTCTCACCTTGTATCCTATCAATGCAAAGGACCACTTCAATGGTGGAAGACACAAGACGCTTCTTGAACAAATAATTACAGAGCTCTGGTTGGGTCAGTTTTTAAGTGTAACGTGACGTACTCATGGTCACACACGAGACTGTGATTGATGGCCCGTCCACCACACTACGCCCGTGGAATTTGAAAACGGCGGTTTCACTCAGAATATGCATCAAATCAGTCTCCGTCCACGCTAGGCCGGAGGAATTTAAAAACGCAACAATCACCCATCATTTTGGATTTTCGCTTGAGGAAACTTGGTCAGGGTTTTCACATGATTATCGTGACGCCATCGTTTTCGAAAAGCTCCATTTCAAAAATTATTTCCGTCGACACGAAAACGAAACACTGGCGTTTTCAAATTCCTCTGGTTTGAAAAGCGTCTTCGAGAAGCTCCTTTTTCGTGTGACGGATTAGCGTGGACAGTAAGCCTAAACGTAGAAATTAAATAAAACTGTGAAGCTGTGTCACTCACTCCAATCAAGTCAAATAGAAGAAGAAGAAAAAAAGAAAATGCATAAAACGGTAGAAATAAATGCAGGTTACATAATTAAGATTTACAGTGGCGGATCTAGCCCCCTCCCCCTTATTTTGTGTAAAAATCGCAGAAGGAAGAAAAACCGGCAGAGCAAGCAACCCCTCCTCCCCTCCCCCTTATAACATGCTGAATTGGCCTCAGAATGCCGGAAATCACTTTTCAGACGACCTCAAATTTATTATTATTATTATTTTTTTTTCGGGAAAGCATGCCCCGGACCCCCTACTGGGGCCCGACTTCGGCGCTCAGTATCTCAAACTCCCTTTTCTAAATCCTATATCAGCCCCAGACGAGGTCGAAATTTCCATCGCTGGAGTTGCTATCACGGTTTTAGATGACCTAGAAATCAAGGATAAGAAATTAATGTCTTTCTACATGCATGCGTGAAACGGATGTTACTAAAACAGGTAATGGGAACGGGGAACGGGGAACGGGGAACGGGGAACGGGGAACGGG